GAACTTGAAGTCAAGGGACTCAGTGAAAATCCTGCAGGGTGCACTGGCACAGGAACCTAAGAATTCTGCAGACTGGTATTTAATCCCAGAATTGTGCTATAATTTTGCCCATGTGTCTAGAATGTTGGGCCCCTATGGATTTTTCCTGAAATATGTGAAGTAAAACTAGGGAGATATGGAAGTATCTTGGGAGGTCTATTCTGAGAGAGTGGAATCCACCTGTTAAATACGGGCATTCTCATTGAGTTGATGGAAATTAATTTGTGAGCACCAGGCTCATACAATAGTGCCATTTTGTGTGAACAATGTTGATGAAGCAATTTTGCTCAGCTTTACTATTTCAGCTAAAATCCACCATGTTACTTCAGCATCAGACTTCATTTACCATCCTTATCAATAAAATGACTGATAAAGAATTTCTCTACATGTGGGTTTTGGACGTTGGAGCTCACTGCCAAGCTGCTCAGCTAGCACTGCTGCTGGGCTTGATGGGAGCTGTGGGGAAGGCTGCTGCACAGCCCACTGAGCATGAAAAGAACAGGGCCCAGCGTGCTTTCCCCCAGGCGCCGGCTTCCTGGTTTTGGTGCCCTGGGCATTGGTTGGCCATTGGCTTGTTTGAGTAAGTTATTTTGGTGCTGTTTCCCTGTGAGGTTTTACAGATGGAGGCCCATTTCCTTGCCTTTGTCTCTGTGAGCCTTTATCCGACCCCACTGACTGATTTTCTTCATCTTCTCAGTCATAGAGATTCAAGAGGCCTAGGGGCAGAGTGAGGAAGGTGGGGAAGAGGAGACTGCACACGCAGTCACCTTTTAATTGGTGAGAAGGTGTGACACAGAAGTTAAACAACCAATCCCCACTGGCCATATCTCAAATGTATCCCCTGTTCTGCCTTCTCCCCTTGCCACCCTAGCCGAGTGTCTCCTGAGTACCACACTGTTACTCATAATTGTCTCCAACTGTTATTTAAACCTTTTACCATTGGTTAATTTTTTTGAAAGTTTGCCTAATCTTTCCAACTGTATTGTAAATTTGAGAATAAGAACAACATTGTATATTTTACTTGTAACCATGCCAGGTCTTCAGTACCAAGCATACTGAGAAATGGTTATCATATTTTTTCTGACTCTAAAAACACGAATACATGAACAGAAATGAACCAGCTGATTCTTTCACTCATCTGTACAGACTATGCCCTTCAAAGTTAATTTGCTACATTGTTCTTTTGACCCAAAAAGACCTTTCTAGCTTTATTGTGATCTAGTTGACATATCCTAAAAGATTTATGTCTCTCAGCTCAAAAGCTAATCAGTAGGTTCGCTCAATACTACTCTGCTAAATGGTGTCCATTTCTCTCTTCGAGATGTCATTCAACACTTGCCTTCTTGCCCAGGCAGTCCCAGATCCATTATACCATGTTCCAATGAGAACCATCATTTCTGGCAGACCAGCAGTCACATGAGTGTCACTCTGCTGGCCGGTGTCATTGGTGACAATTTTTAGTAATTATTCCATAATGTTTCTGATAATTCAACTTAAGTTTTCTCTGTTTCCTGCTTTAACTTATTAGTAACATCAGAGTAGAACTTCTAGAGCATGTCTCTTGTCAGTTCTTGCAGAGTCTCATATAACTTTCACATGTCATATGGTGGGTGCCCAACTTATGGCCACCAATGGTGAAGTGGCCTAGAGAAATTCAGCAAAGCTAGGAGATCCTGTGCTTCTCACAGCCAAGTCTGTCGCCTGGGGGAGACATCACAGAAACACTCCATGGACTCAAAGGAAGCACAAACAAGAAGTTTTCTCTTCTTCTTGGGGACTGGTATGCAATCTTTTACTTCTTGGAATGTGTATTAGGAAGGGATTAATCAGACTCCCAAAGTGATTATGGAACTTGCAACAGCAGAGTAAATAGAAGCTGCTGAATTTCATTACTCTCAGAGTTAAACACACCCCTAGGCTTCCAGCAAGCTAATAAAAACAAAGTGGAGAAAATTATATACTTTAAGAAGTTCTTTTAAAGACAAATCTTGTTTAAGGAGATTTAATACAAATATTAAGAAAGACTAGTAAAATAATGTTAGAAATGAATTTCCAGTTCTGTTATTTTGATAGAGTAAGAACTTTTGGTTTGGCTTTTAAAAATGCATTTAAAAAAGCATTAGCACCACTCAGTAATTTAATAATGCCTCAGTTTTTGACAAGCTCAAAGGAAAACAATGCTGTTTCTTCTTGTTTGCTAGGGAGACAGTGCTACCAGGACAGAACTGCATAATGATCTGACTGATGTTTGGTCCCTGGAGCCAGACCTCTCCAGTTCAAATCCTAGCTTTACATCCTACACGCTGTGTGATTCTGGGCAAGGTACTTTCTCTATGAAATGAGAAAGATAAGTATGCCTATTTCACTGGATTTTTGTATTACGTAAGTGAATACACTTAAAAGCACTCTGAACAGCACCTGGCATGTGGTTAATGCTCAGTAAGTTTAACCTCTTATCATCACTCTACCACCCTCATGACCCACTGTCACCAATTCCACCACATCATCACTCACTATCACCTACCATGGTCACCTCAATAACCCACTACGACTGTCTACCACCCAAATGGCATATCCCACCATCTATGTCTACAACTCAACCATCAGACCCACTATCAATATCATCACTAAACACCACCATCACCACCCCCACCATCACTCGCCATCATCCATCACCTCCACCTGTCACCACCCACCATTACCCACCATCGCCATCACTACCCCCGCCCCTACCCCCACCATCATCAACCACCATGACCATTTCCACCATCTCCCATAGTCACCCACTGCACTTTTATCTTTCACTGCTGAGCAGAGGTGACAAACATGGCTGGGAAGTTCTTTTCAATTGCCTCTCATACATAAAGACTTATAAAAGGCTTTGAGATCTGGAGGGATCTATTGATTGGAGTCTCCCCATTTCCAATGCTCTTGTCAGAATTATGAATAGTGACAACTATCACAACTGCGGGCTATGATTCTGACACTGTGCTAATCAAAGCTTACCACGATTATTTCAGCCATGATTATTTCTTTTAAGCATCTCAACAACTCTGTGAGCTATATACTATTATTATCTCTATTTTATATAGTGAATTAAAAAACTGGGGCTAGGAAAGTTTTAATAACTTGCCTAAATTCACAAAACTTGTAAACAATAGAGCTATGTGTGAACCCAAGGTCCTCCACTGTCCAGCCCAAACTCTTCCACATCGCTCTGCTGTGCCACAGTCACTTGTTCCACACAAGTCTAATCTTTTCTTTCTCATACTCTGCATCTCTCTTTTTCATGCTTTTCCCCGTGACGGTCTACTCCCTCTACTTCACCTACAGATGATCTGCATGTCTACCCAGTCCCAAACTGTCGGCCCATTGATCTCTGCCCTCTAAACCCAATGAGGGGCCTCTCTGTTTCGGGGTCACACACTGCAAAATCAACACAGCCTGAACCAAACCAAGCTCACTATTGTCCGTCTCAAACCATTTTCTCTTCTCATTTCTTGATTTCTTTCTCCCTACCCTTACCTTGCTAAGCCTCAATGTGAATTCAGTTTCTTTCTCTCAATATACCCAGGCCCAGCCACCATAATTAGCACTCCCACCCGGTTCTGTACATTCCATCTCTGTAATTTCGTTCAAATGTATCTTCTACACCCCATTCCTACTACCAATATAATGCAGAAACCTGTTAGCATAACCTGGGCACAGAAATTCCCAGTGGTTCCCATCAGTCTCTCTTTTGTTAAAAAGATCTCCCAGTTTTCTGCGCAATGAATCAAGACTAGACTTTCCAGGTTGGCATTTTGGTTTTCCCCACAATAGCTGCCTACCTATCTTTCAAATCTTATCTTTTACTAGAGTTATCTATGTATCCACCCATCCTCTGGGCCCAGCGGTGTCCAACCTTTTGGTGTCTCTGGGCCACACTGGAAGACAAAGAGTTGTCTTGGGCCTCATGTTAAATACATTGTGACACATAATCACAAAAAAAAATCATAATATTTTAAGTAAATTTATGATTTTGTGTTGGGCTGCATTCACAGCCATCCTGGGCTGCATGTGGCCCACAGGTCGCAGGTTGGACACTCCTGCCAGACCAACAGTTGATCACTGTGTTTCCTGAGCCCAGTGTGCTTTTGCCTTTGCTCCAGTCAGTAAGTATATCATGTCAATATACTTTGAGGTAAATTATCATACTTAGAAACTGTCATGATCGTTTGTTAGCTGCAGTTCCTTTTCGTGATCACTTAACTAGCCCAGCTGGATTTGTTAGCCTGGAACACCAAACTGGGAGGAGGAACAGCAGTCCTAACTGTAATATAAATACAAGTAGATTAGTATTGTAACAGAACCTTGGGAGGCAAGATACATTTTCAAGAAAGCAAGAAGTCCACTTATTTTATGCAATATTTAGCATATTATACTAGGAGAACTATAGAATTTTTGTAGGCTAGGAATTCACTGGAAATGGGAGGTGACTTGCATTAAGAATAATATTATTTATGATTGCTATAGCATTTGTTTCTCCAGGGAGTTTAGCTGTCTTATATAACTGTTCAGTTATTCTTGATTTTCAGTAGTTAATTAATTCATGATCCATCCATCCAATAGTCTGAGAATCTGGAGGCATCTCTGCATTTAACTCTGTGAAACAGGTAAGAGATGTTAATAACCCCCCTCTTTTAGTGATAGAAGGGGTACAGAGAGCTGAGAAGTCCACACCATGAGTTTCTCACTGCATCTGGCACTAGAACTTAGCACTTCTGCTGAAGAGAATCATTCGATGATTCTCTTGATCCTTATCTGGCCTGATTTTCTGAGATTTTTCTGCCAGCTGCCACCTATCTGTAGAATCTATCCTTTTTATGAGTAGAAAGCAATTCAAAGGATCTCCTTTTCCTTGTATATACCCATGACTGTGCCACCCTAGATCTGAAAGGCACAGGACATTTGGGACTCACCGTTCACAAAGACGGCAAACCTCAGGAAGGACAGGTAGCGCTCCCCTTCAATGGGGTTCCAGCCGACGTCAGGGTATCCTTTGGCCAGAAGCATGGGGCAGCTCTGTAGGCCACAGCCTGCCAAGTAAGTCACCACCTGCCACCAACAGTACATAAGTAAGTGCCCAAGGTCTTTATGAGATCCTCTAAGGACAGCAAAATTCTGGGACCCGAAGGGCTTTCATTTCCCTAAAAGCTACAGAGAGCCCAAAACTTTTAAAGCAAGTAATTTAGTAGATTTGAAGCCCAAACCTACATTTCAGTTTTGTCTCCAAGCAATCCACAAGACTGACAATCACTGTTATGTATGAGAACACGGTATGCTGTCAATTCCCTGGTTTTCCCAGTACTGGCAAGAGGGAGCTGCCACTTAAAAATAGGCCTACTGCCCTGGCTGGGTGGAGTGTCGTCCCATACACCAAATGGTTGTGGGTTCGATCCCCGGTTGGGGCATGTACAGGAGGCAACCAATCAATGTTTCTCAAATTCAAATCAATGTTTTTCTCTCTCTCTACTCCTTCCTCTTTCTCTAAAATCACAGTTTTAGACATAAAGAATAAACATATTCTTGGGTGAGGGTTTAAAAAATAAAATAAAATAAAAATAGGTATATGTAGGGTACATCTGGGGAGATAGCCATGGATCTAGGCTGGCCATGGTATTTCAAGACCAAAAATGCAGTCACTGCCTGACACCCAGTGGGCCCTTGACTAACCAGGGGTCCCTACTCAAGTTCTGCATCCCCAACAGTTGTCCAAAGTGAGAAGCCGAGATGTTAAGGTTGGGGTGGCCAGTGAAGAGGCCACAGCCAGTTGCAGACCAGGATTGGTAGTGCCCTCTTTGCTTCCAGGTCACCAGACGCTCACCATGAGCTCCCAGCTCTGTGACCATGTGGAATATTAGAATCTGCCTACTTTTAGGTGGTGTCAGGCAAGAGCCTGGTAGATAGACATTTTCTTGACATGCAGTTGTTGCTCTGATTTAGCCTTTGATATTTCCTGTGTGGGGGGAGATGAGAAGAGTGCACTGTGCTGTGAAAGCCACATGGTCAGGAGTCCTTGACCACCAGTGGTGTCCTTTTGTTTTTTAACCTCTAGGGTTTTTAACCAATGTCACCCCAATACATTTAATAAAAAAGAGAAAAATCTCCAGGGTCTGGCACATATTAGATGCTCAATAAATGTTCATCAAATGAACCATGTATTCACTGATGTCAAATACTTGAAGTCCTTTTGCAAGAATAATGAATCTAAGCCAAAATTCAGTAAAAAACTATCATCGTACCTTCCTTTCTTAAAGTAGTAAGGATACTATTCTGTTTGGAGCTTAGATTTGATCTGGCCTTTAAAATGTCAGGGAAAACATCAATAAAGGCAGGAATGAGGCAGAGTTTTTGGGATTACAGATATGAGGCACTTCACTGGCCACTAAAATAGGTGCCCGAGTTTGGGCGTGTGTGTGTTGCTGTTGTTTAATCCGAAGGGACCTAATTTCTGTCATGATCAACAGAAGGAAGAGCAGCAGCATTTACTGGTCCATTCTCCTTCTCTCCCCGGAACCAAACTTGGGAAATTTTCTGACTCTGGTCTAGACAAAGCTAAGCTGCTGGAACCACTTGCAAGCTGCAGCAAACCTCACCATCCCCTTCACAGATTTTCCCAAGTCCCTGCTTCAGGCCGCAGATCCTCTGGAATGCATGTACTTGTTGGGCCTGGCCGCTCTACAGGCAGGAAAGAGCAAGCACGTTGCCTCCTCAGGGCCGTTACCTTCTCGAGGTCTGGTTCCTCTAAGCCCAGTGCTAACTCATTGTTGTCCATCACTGAGGAAGCTGCCACATCCAGCGGAGTGGATCCCCTCATCGATGGGGAGGCTGAGGAAGGAGGGAGAAAGGAGAAAGGAGGAAAGGAGGAGGGAGAACAGGACCAACAAACCTCCCCCTTGTTGAACTGAGACGGTAGTGCACACAACTGGCCAGGTGAGGGCAGCAAACACCCTAAACCTGGTTCACGTTGAGGTTCTCTGAGGGGACTGCCCTGTTGCTGTCCTCTCCCTTCCCCCAGCCCATCATGCAACTCATTACTGATTGTGAACATGCATCAAGTAGGAATATCACTTCACAGGAGCAGCTGGGACCACGGATTTTCAAGTGCTTTTCTACCATGAAACTTCCTGGGGTTCCCTTTTGATGATCACTTTAAAGACTCAGATGTCATTGAATAACTAAACTCAAAGGACTTGGCTGCTTCTGGGGCCACCACCCAGGATTTAAAAATAGCCTCAAACAGCATTAGCTCATACAGTTATCAGGCCACTGTGGCTTCCCTTTGTCAGGGCCTTAGGCTAGAATTAAGAAAGCCTCCAGGTGGCATTTTACAAAAAGGTTTGGTAGCCTGAGGTGGCATTTGATAAATAGGAAACCCGAGCTATCAGATTTCAGATTTCTGTGTGTTTCTGCATCTGCCACAAGTTTATTCAGATTCCCTTCAGAGCAGTCAATGGGGCCTATGTATCCTGTTGCTTTCCTTGTGATGGTGATAGGCTGACACTGTTTGTCCGCATTGCTTTGGCTAGTCCGCCCCGCAGCTATGGACAGCGCTGGCTGGTTGGCCAATGGGACAGGCTGCAGCCAGACTGCTGAGAAAGGTCTGGATCCGTGACCTTGGTCTCATTAGCACTGCCCCATGGGCAGGGGAGTGGGCCCCAGACTATGTCTGGGATTTCAGGCAGCATTTTATATACCTGGTCCCAAGAGAGATGAGCTAAAACTGTGTGACCGTGCCAACACAAACCTGTCATGGGTGCTGGCTGGGAGCAACGTCACTAATTAGGCTGGGGAGCAGAGAGATGGTGTCATTATTCCACCTGTTTTTAGACCAGGCAGGGGCCTTTTTGTATTAAAAAAAAAAAAACCCATAGGATGCATGTGGCTTCTTTCCTTTTACCTCCTAATTAAGTGGTCAGCAGGGGGCATGTCACCTCTGAGCCCAAATGTGGAAGTTATAACAGGACATACCTAGGCCAACACTGCTATTCTCCAAAAGGTAACTTAGATGCTCGAACATGGCCTTTTGATTCTGCCGGCTAATTCGACAGAAATAGCAGAGGAAGCGGCAACAGCTAGCGACCATCTTTGGAAAAGCAATCTGCAGGGAGAAGTAGGAAGTGTCAAGAAAAAGAATCCATCATGAGGTCTTTCTGGAAAGTCTGGCTTCAGAGAGTCTTAGGTTCAAGTCTGGCAAACTGTGAACATTTTGGAAAAACAAATTTTCTCCTTACTTCCAGTTTGTTCCAAGACTTTTTCATAGGAAAGATGGAGAGTACATACACAGCTAAGAAGAGGCTTCCAAAAATATTGCCAACTAGTTAGAGTTCCTGGAATATCTTTCCTTCGAAGGAAACAGACATCAAACAAGAACCCCAGTCATCCTCAGATGCCACGTGAGACTGCACGGTCCTATACTGGGCTGGTTTCTAACTAGGAAAGGGGTGGACAGAATGCTGACGGGAAATTTCAGGAGGGAGATGGGTGACCACAGACAAATGAGACCCCAAACCTGACTCCTGGGTGAAAACTAGCCCCTCCAGGTGTGCAAGCCTCAGAAGCATCGCCTTCGCAGACTGTGAGCCTCCCCCGGTGACGTCTGCTCTCCTCTCCTCTCCTACGGGCTCCTACAGCACTTGTCATGTGGCCACACAGTTCGGTACTCAGGTGCCATCTGACAGCACCGTTGACTGTGACTTCTCTGCTGATCAAAGTAACTGGTGTCTCCAGGGCCTGGCCATGTCTTATTTTTGATCCAGTAATGCCCAGGATCCCAGGAAGCCCTTGACATCCCTGGTTTGACTCTTGGAGGGTGCTCAAGAAGTAAGGTTCTGACATCTGCCATCTACCTGCTTGCTGAGGCATCTTGCCATTTACCTGGGGATGTTCTGGAGAGTCCACTTTCCCAAGAGATCAGACAAGCAAGTGAGGAGGAAGGTGAGCTTGATGTCTGTTCTCCTTTCTCACCCCCACCTCTCAATGCTGGTGGAACTGCGTTCCTAGGACCCTGGCACTCTAAAATTTCCAACATATGAAAACATATGGGCGCTTCCCCATCTACTGCCTTCAGAAGCTATCTGACTCCAAGGAGGACCCCTGAGAAGGTGAGCCCTAATCCTGCCTTTCCCCCTGCCAGCAGGAGCTCCCCTGACGGCTGGCACCTCATGCGGGGCTGACCAAGACACCATCAGGAGCCTGGCTCACAGAGGAAACCCACGCACTCCTGAGGGGCACTGCCAGGATCATTACAAGATCTTGTTCTCCTTTAAAACAGCCTTCTCCTGACACAGCACAAAACACACCAGAGGAATCCCATCTGGGAGGAAGCGGGGCTGCTAAGTATGGTGAACGTAACAGCTGAACCACCCAGTGGAACGAGCGAGAAAAGCCCACGAGCTCCCAGAGCTGAAGCGCTCCCACTGGCTGGGTGCCATTTGGCGGCATCGTCCCACCTGCTGGCTTCTTCCTGGCACCGTGTGCGTCCCTCCCTCTCTCTGGGAAGAGCAACTGAGGCAACAGACACTAGCCGTGTGGCTGCAAACAGGTCACCTCCTGTGTTCCTGCCCAGGGGTCAAGTTCTGGCTGAGTTCTCCCTGTAGCATTACCTGGGATTTCTCTGCACCCAGCACGTTCACCATCACCTCCATCACTGTCTCGTGCATGCCGAGGACTCGCATGAGGTTGGGGTGCTGGTAAAACACCTTGTTGTTCATTATGTCTCTAGGGTAAGAATCGGAGAGAGATGTCAGCTCGGGCTGACTTCAATGCTGTGGAAATTCAGGGATGAGAACACATAAATGCGCACACACACCTAGGGTAAAATGGGATAAAAACAGGCTGAAAAGGTAATTAGAAGGCACTAGGTCAGTTAGAAGAAACGTGGAGTGCTTTTTTAGCTGATTGGAATATTCTATGCTCTTTTATTTCTGCTAAGCACTTGCTTTCTCTCTTTGAAACATTCCTTCTAATGACATATTAAAGAGTTGCCCCTTGGTCTTTGCACTTACAATAGTTTCAAGGCAGCCCAAATCACTTAATTTCTCTTCTGCCATGTACTTAGGGTCTTTTGTTGCTTTCTACTCTTGTTCTTGTGTCCCTACATATTTTAGTTTTCTTAATAATACAGCTGTAGCCTTTTCTTAAGACAATTGCATATTAGGTAACAATGAGGACAGTGGTCCTCAAAGCCCAATGATACAATCAACAATGGAATGTAAAAGAAATCATGTTTTTCAGTCATTCAACACAGATTTACAAAATAAAGCTGCAGGCAAATGTGAGGAAGGGAGAGTGGAGGCTGGGCTGCGTGACGCCCGCAGGGTGCCCCCACCGCCGTGTTGCAGCTGCTAGGAGCAGACACCATTACTGTGGCTATGTCTATGGCGAGGGCTGGGGGGTGAGGGGAGGCTAATTTGGTAGCTTTTTTCTCTTCCTATAAAAGTCTTTTCATTTCTACTGTAAGATACTCCTTTGGAAGTGAATTTGAGGAATGCATGCATTCCCCACACCCCGTACCCTGCCCCAGTATCCTCCAAGTCCCCGTTCTGGGCCTTGCTGATGGACACTCCTTTAATTCACCAGCTCAAGGGCGGTGGGATGGAACATTCGGCAGCAGGAAGGCTGCGGCTCTAGTTCCTGATTTTAACCAAGTGGAGCTGTGGGCTGGACAGTGAACCATTTTAGAACTTGGTTTTCTCATCTGCAAGATGGAAGTGCTATGTTAGCCAATTAAAGGAAATCTTTTTGATGTCTAAAATGCTATCTTTTTAATAATTGTAAGGAAGAGACACACAAACAGTTGTTATGGGAAAAGGTGTCCCTGGACTGACAAAAACGATACTAGCAGAGTCCCGAGAAAAGGAAGGTGCAAGGAGCAATTTTTCAGAGGGAAGTCTCAGAGGTTTTCTAGTCAAAAGCAGAAGTTCTTGCAAGGTGTCTCTCTTGTTGGGTTGGACACACTCTCCCTTCCTCTAATTTTTTTCATTGCTTCCCTGAGGCTATTTTCATCAGATTCAAGCTAAATAACTGTTTTTCTCCAAGATTCCTCTCCACTTCTTCTGACAACGTCCCTTCACTCTGATTAGCAAGTAGTCTGGCCTCTCACGTTATCAAAGGTGACTGATGTGACAAGAATGTAATCCCACAAGGAGTGCCTGCAGGAGGGGGCACCCAGAGATGGTACATGATTTGATTCTGGGACATCCAGACAGCAAGGTAAGCCAGTTTCCCATGTGGCACTCTTCCGACAGGCTTGCACTTCACCGAGAATGACCTACCCCAGCCCGTTGATCATGAGCAGCTCCTCTTCCTTGCCCATCCTGACACTGAGGAGGCAGCGGATCTGGCCCAGGGCTGCCAGCAGGTTGATGGTGTCACCCACAGAGGCCTGGCTGATGCTGTAGGTCTTCCTCAGGGCCTGCAGCAGCTCCCCGATGCTGTCGTACTGCCTCTGGAGGAGGTTGAACATCATCCGGACGAGGTCTGCATCCTGAATGTGGTCTTCCTGGGCCCAGCGGATCATGGTCTGTGAGATGAGTTCCTTCAGTGTTGCTGGAAGGACAATAGGAAGGACCAGTACTGTAGCTGTCCTTAGCTCAGGGAGAGCTGTGTACCTCAGCCACCTCATTCAGTTGTAAGACATATCATCAGCTGGTCAAGGTTAAAAAATTCTCTCTTTTAGAACAAAGGTGGAGGCATCATACTCCCTGACTTCATAGTATACTACAAAGTGACAATAATCAAAACAGCATGGCATTGCTGTGGAAAAACAGACACACAGACCAACGGAGCAGAACTGAGAGCCCAGAAATAAACCCATATGTATATGGGCAAATAATTTTCAACACAGGAACCAAAAAATTACAATGGAGAAAATAAGTCTCTTGAATAAATGGTGTGGGAAAATTGGAAAGTTACATGCAAAAGAATGAAACTAGATTATTGTTTCTTCCCATGTACAAAAATTAACTCAAAATGGATAAAAGACCTAAAAATAAGACCTGAAACAATAAATTACACAGAAGAAAACATAGGTACTAAGCTTATGGACCTTGATCTTAAGAAAGACTTTATGAATTTGACTCCAAAGGCAAGGGAAGTAAAGGCAACAATAAATGAATGGGACTTTATTAAACTAAAAAGCTTCTGCACAGCAAGAGAAACCACCAACAAAACAAAAAGGCAAGTAGCCCAATCAGGGAAGATATTTGCAAACAAGGGTTCTGATGAGGGGCTAATATCCATAACATACAAGGAATCATACAACAAACAATCTAATTAAAAAATGGACAGAGAACTGAACAGACATTTCTCCCAAGAAGACATACAAATGGCCAACAGATATATGGAAAGATACTCAACCCTGCTAGCTATTAGGGAAATGCAAACCAAAACTAGAATAAGATACTACCTCACACCTGTTAGAATAGCTATTATCAAGACAAGTAACAAGTGTTGAAGAGACTGTGGAGAAAAAGGAATGCTCATTCTCTGCTGATGGGAATGTAAACTGGTATAGCCACTATGGAAAACAATATAAATGTTCCTGAAAAAATTAAGAATAAAGGGAGAGGTGGGGGGGGGGGAGGCAGAAAACTATACTTGAAAAACTATTTGAAAATTGTAAAAAAAAAAAAAATAAATTTTAAAAAATTAAGAATAAAGTTACCATATGACCCAGCAAACCCTTTTCTGAGTATCTACCCCTAAAACTAAAAACAGGTACTTGAAAAAATATCTATGTACCCATGTATTCATTGCAGCATTATTCACTGAGGCCAGGACATGGAGACAACTGAAGAATCCTTCGAACGGATGATTGGATAAAGAAGATGTGGTGCATATATACAATGGAATACTACTTAGTCATAAAGAGATAAAATACTACAGTTGGTGACACCATGGATGGATCTTGAGAATATCAAGCAAAGTCAGACAGAAAAAGTCAAGAACCACATGATCTCACTCATATGTGTGATATAAAACTGAAAGCAAGAAATGAGCAGACAAGACGAATAAATAAACAAAAACTCACAGACACAGACAGCAGCATGGTGGTTACTAGAGAAAAGGGGGTTAGAAGGGCAGTAAAGGGCAAAGGGGGTCAGATATATGGTGATGGACGAAGATTTGACTTTAGGTGGTGGACACACAATGCAGTATACAGATGATGTGTCATAGAATCATACACTTAGAGCTTATATAATTTTATTAACCAACATCACCCCAATAAATTTAATAAAATTTTTTAAAAGGATGGGGATATGGAATGTGGAGAAGTAGAATACGTTGTTGAAAGACACACATGTGAGCCACACGGCAAGAACAGAGTATCTCAATTTTGAATTGAGGGTGTTAAATATACTATTTTGATAAAATGATGTTTGAATAGATGCTGGAAACAGAAGACTAAATAAGGTGCTATTCTTGCCTTCAAGGTGCTTATAAGCCAGGAATTTACATTTTCATTTTGATTTCGTAAAAACCAAGTTCTATCTTTATTTTGTAACACTGTAATGAACACTAAAATGGGGGTATGTGCAAGTGCCACGGGAGAGAGTGGGGAGCAACCAGTTCTGGGAGGGCTAAGGCGTGGGAAGAAGGCACTGCTGCTGCCTCTTTAGAGTAAAGAATACTAAGCACTGAGATTTCTCTGTCGTGTGTACTGCCTCTGAATATTTAAAAGATACCACATACTATGAACTGACGAGGTCAAGCCACTGATTTGAGAATTGCGAAAGTTATTTTTACAGTGTAAAAGGTGATCTAACCTACAAATTCATCAGGGGATGGAGGGGAGTGGACTACAAACACTCCATGAGGTCAGAAGGCTTTGCAATTGGCCACCTGATCTGCTCGTCCTGAACGGTGCTGCCCATGTCTCTGCAGGAGTTGGCTGACACTGAGTCACGAACTATTTTCACAGGCACCAGGAAGACAGGAAGCAGTATGACTTTGGATTCAGAATTTCTCAGGGCTCATCCTGGCACACAGAAATATGACTGGTTGCATAAGTAAAGAAAAAGTTGCTGAAGTGGGACCCGATCTGGCTGCAGGGTGTTCGGAGGTTGGACTAAGTGGCCCTGACACGCGCTGATTGGCACTGGTGTGAGGAGATGGCCAAAAAAGTGGGGGAGATCTGAGCGGGAGGACGGAGCTGAGTGGCTGGGAAGGCACCACTCACCCCTCCCCACGCCACACATGTGTCTGGAAGGTGCCGTGACAGAGGTGAGAAGTGCTGCCATTACATCATTACTGCATCCAAGCCTGGCTCTGCCTAGCACATGCCTGCAAGGTATGGGTGGCACCAAGATCCTGGATTCAGCCCCGGTGTTCAAGGCAGCGCTCAGGGCCAATGAAGGTCTCACAGTCCGTCAGTGAAAGGAGTGGGAATACACTCAGGTGGGCGCCTCCATAGCCTGTGCCATCTGCAATAGTCTTGTCTTCTACCTCCACACACTGTACATGGCAGGTGTCTGCTCTACTCCCAGTCCTGGCACGGCATAAGGATATAAAAATAGAGTTCCTGAAGAGATCTGAAGGATTAATTTAACTTGATGCTGCGTCTATCAACCCTGTGGGTGTTTTAGGTTCATGGCAGGAGACGTAAGCTGAAAACCTTAAGAAAGGATACTGAAGGCAGAGAGAAGCACAGGTGAAAGCTGGTGCTAAGAGATCTCACTAGGCAGGGATCGCTGACTACTAGCTGTTAGGTCAGGTAATATCTGGACACTCTGGGGGACAGTGATTTACGGGCTAGACTGGGCTCCTCTCAGGAACTTGTTTCCTCAGGAGATGATGTAGAAGGTCCTTTCTCCTGTTACTCTTCACAGTAAGGAATAAAAGCAAGCCAGAAATGTAAATGCCCTGGGACCCAACAGAAGTTCTTCTAGTCCTGTAAGAATAATTCCCTCTTTTAGCCTATATTTTGGACTGAAAGAATTACAGTTCGCTCCACTAACAAGCAAATTCTCTGCAGAGGTGACACACATCCTCACAGTCCTCACTGCACCGGAAAAGCAACAACCAGAATTGTTCATCCGCTCAAGGTCCGTCCTCTCTCTTTTCAACAGGGCATTTTATGGAGTCATGATGAAACCAAATAAATATTAGCATTTCCTGTACCCGGCTTTCAGATTAATTCAGGATTTGGGCAAGATCCTAGCCTCACAGTGACTTAAAAATCCAAATCAATATTTATAGTCTAGGAAATGGAACATCCACAGCAAAATATCTCACTCGAGGACAAACAGGTAAGGAAACAGCCCTTTAACCCAAAAGGGTGGAGCAGGGACCGCCTGAAGGGTTCTCTGCCCAGGCCAGCCCCCCAGGTAAGAAGAAGAGAGTGAGATAAATAGATGTGAGTGGGACCAAGCTGGAGCTCAGTTAAAAGCAAAACGTGACCCCAAGATCACAACAGAAAAAGCAAGACTCCTCAGTGTTGTGTGTCGATGGACAGGTGTAATAAGTTAGTGGCAGGCACAACAACAGAGGCCACTCTTGTTGATCAGGCTTTCCAAATATGAGAAAGAATAGGAGAGAAAGAAATGAGAAGAAAACTGCAGGGCAGGGAGAAAACATTCTCAAGAAGCCTGAAGAGCAGTGTATTCTGTAGCCTGACCCAGGCTAGCAAGCTGGCACCCACCAGGCAAACCTCTGCTGAATGCTGTCTAATGGCCCAGACCCTTTGGAAGCTGAGAAAAGGGAGCTTTACACCCCTGGCAGCCATGCTACTACTGAAGACCCCTCATGCTTTAGTTCGCTCCCATGAGCCAGCGGCAGAGCAGCATAAATACGCCAGGGTCAACAGGTGAAAAAGAATCCACGTTTTGGAATGTAGTAGACTATCCGTATATCTGTACACTTGAGTGTTAAAATAATTAATGCATATAACCATGCTTGACACCTGTTGTGGGCTTTATAAAGGTTAACTATTATGCTATCTACACAGTAGTTATAAAAGGTATGGCCCACAGACCCTTGGGACAGGATCTACCAAGATCCTGTAGGCAGTGTGCCAGGCCAAACGTACTTCCGTAACACTTGGGAGACATTATTTGCCTTTTCACTGTGTTGACAGCTTCTCCGGCGGTGAAAAAGCAGTGGCGGGTAAACCTGCCGCGTCTCAGCAGGAGCTCGGTCTGCAGTGTCGAACGCTGTTCCTTACTCCCTAGGGCCATAGCTCCAGGAAAGCGCTCAGAAAGTGCTCAGAAAGTGCCCCATTCCGCACAAGAATGTTGTCAGTGAAGGAGAAACATTATCCACTTTATTAATAACACTTTTCAGAACACACCTCCTTAAATCCCGTGTGACAAAATGGGAAGTGTGCCTAAAGCACTGCTGCCCCTCACAGGGCAGTGGTGTGGGTGTGGGGGTGGGGGTGGGGGCGGGGGCGCCACGTGACCGAGCTGGGGGCTAAAACTGCTGCTGTCTCACGAAATGTCATTTTTAATTAAAAGAGTCACAGAAAAACTGTGGTTAATCAGACTTTGGTAGCCGACAGGCATTATCTTGAAAATAGAAGAAGTGATCCTAGCACTTCAAGGAAAAAC